TTTCTCGCTTTCTGTCTCTCTGTCTCTCTCTGTCTTTCTGGCGAGTGCATGCGCCCTATAGCAAAAACCTCTCCCCCCCAAAAAAAAGAGAGAATGATTCATTTCCATTTTATGTATTTATTATTATTTTACTTAATTTGCTACAGGGCATGTGCACTCGTTGGGGGGTGGTAGTAGGGAGTGAGAAAGCAAGCTACCATGTCTAGGATTCGAACTGCAGCCATGGGCAGCTCAGTGCCTTAACCACCACACCATCTGCTGGCCCTGAGGCCCTAGTTCTTTTTTTTGGGAGAGGTTTTTGCTATAGGACACATGCGCTCGCCAGAAAGACAGAGAGGCAGAAAGTGAGAGCTCACCCCCAGGGGGGATGGCCACACCACAATCCCTTCTCCTCCATTCTCCTCTCGAGAACTTGGGCACGCATGCACACGCGCCCGGCAGGAGTTTTGAGCCACCAGGTCCAGGACACGAACCAAGGTTGCCCCCGTGGGAGCCCAGTAACACTATCTGCGGGTCCCCTCTTCTAGACTCGTACATGTTAGGAACCTTTACGTGTTCAGTCCTCTTGTGTCTCTCTCCTTAGATCGATTCTGGGGGACTTTCAATGTCTTTGCTAACTACCTCCACTGGAAGCGTCTAGCCATTTTGGGGGCTCTGTACTGAAATGTCTAAATACCTCCTGGAGGGCTCCATTTAAAGAACCCCCCCCCAGGCCCCTTCAGCACAACTCTCTCCCCTCGACCATGCACAAGCCTCCTCCTGGCCAGCTAAGTTAGACACCAGGATGCTGGGGGCCCTTCCTGGCTGGTTCCTGCCCACCCACACTGCCCCCTACCTTCAGCACACCACGGCCACCCTGGGCAGGTGCATAGTATGTCTTCCGAAGCAGCACTGTCCTGGGCTGACCTACCCCCACATCCTTCTGAAAAACACCTCTCCACTTTCCTTGGGAAAAAGTCCTGAACGTGGCTTTAGCGGATCTTTTGATGTTGGACACTTGGGGTTTTCTTACTCTGTGTCCCCAAACTGAGCTCCAATCATTCTCTGAGGTTTTATATATTTTTAAAATTATGTATATATTTAAAAATGATATAAAATTATGTCATATTAAAATTATATTTTTTAAGGGAAATTTTTGCCATAGGGCGTGTGTCCTCACTGGAGAGACAGAGAGACAGAAAGCAAGAAATCACCCCCCTGGGGGGATGACAACACCACAATCCCTTCTCCTCCATTCTCCTCTTGGGATCTTGGGCATGCACGCACATGCGCCTGGCATGAATTTAAAGTCACCGGGTCTGGGACTCGAACCGCAATAAACTACATAGGAGTCCAGTGATGTAGCCATTCCACCATTCATTTATTTGTTGTGATTTAAAAAAACTCTTCACTTGGGACCAGCAGTTGGCGTAATGGCTATGTCACTGGACTCCCATGGAGTCGACCGCAGTTTGAGTCCTGGACCCGGTGGCTTAAACTCACACCGGGCGCGTGTGCGTGCGTGCCCAAGATCCCGAGAGGAGAATGAAGGAGAAGGGATTGCAGCGTGACCATCCCCCCTGGGGGGTGATTTCTCGCTTTCTGTCTCTCTGTCTCTCTCTGTCTTTCTGGCGAGCGCACGCGCTCTAGAGCAAAAACCTCTCAAAAAAAAAATTCTTCACTTAATTTTTTTATTATTAGTTTTAATTTGCTATAGAGCACATGTACTCACCAGAAAGAGGAGAGAGAAAAAGAGAGAGACAGAAAGCTGCAGGTCCAGGTCTTGAACCATGGTCAGCCATGTGCGAGCCCAGCGCCTTAACCACCATGACACCTGCTAGACCCTCTGACCCACCCATAACAACTTGCAAACTGCCAGTCCTAGGAAGCCTTCCACGTATCTAAGTCAGGATGAGGCAGCCATGCCAAACACTCCTCAGTCAACCCCACTGTATTTATCTCACTGTACTCTACTCAGCTAGTATTTACTTAGTTTTTATTTTTGTTAAAGGGTATAAGCACTCGCCAGAGAGGAGACAGAGCTACAGTGAGAGAGATTGTGAGAAATCACCCGCCAGAGAGGATGGCCACACTGCAATCCATTCTCCCCCATTCTCCTTGAGGGATTTTGGGCGCATAGGCACACACCGCAGTGTGATTTTAACGCCTCGGAGTCTGGGACTCAAACCACAATCGACCATAGCGGAGTCCCATGCCTTAACCACCACGCCACCTGCTGGGCCCTCAGCTACCTTCTCCTTCATCTTTTTTTTTTTTTGGAGAGGTTTTTGCTATAAGGCGCGTGCACTCGCCAGAAAGACAGAGAGAGACATAGAGACAGAGAGCGAGAAATACCCTCCCGGGGGGAATAGCCACGCCGCAATCCCTTCTCCTCCATTCTCCTCTCGGGATCTTGGGCACACACGCGCTCGCGCCCGGGGTGAGTTTAAGCCGCCGGGTCCGGGACGCGAACCGCGGTCGGCTCCGTGGGAGTCCAGCGACATAGCCGTTAGGCTAACTGCTGGTCCCTCCTTTATCTATTTTTGACTTGTTAACTGCCCTGATATTCGACCGTCGATTTCCCTGGACTGAACTGAGCCCAATTTGCCTTCATTAGTCTACAAGTAGCTCACGTGGAAGGCACAAAACAGATCTTCTTGAATAAATAACAGTAGAGATTAAAAAAAGAAAAAAGAGGACAGTCCGCACTTGACTCCCTCCAGCCACAAACTGTCCTAATACATTTTACTGCATAACAGTACTGGATGGATTGGGCCAGCAGGTGGCAGGGTGGTTGGGGTGCTGGACTACCACCGGGCAGACTGGGGTCTGAATCCCAGACCTGGTGGCTTGTTTTCTCACTTTCTCTATCTGAGAGTTCATATGCCCAATAGCAAAAAAAA